TATTTATGATCCCACAAAACTGCAATTCTTTACACATTTAATCGAGTCTCTATCTCCAGTAGTTTCCGAGATACCCATAGAGAACAACGTAGGAAACTCACCCTGTATATTTATGATTAATTTATTTTTGTTTCCTAAATTATTTTGATTAAAAGAAAATATGTAAAAGTGGGCAACGCTGCACAGTGTTGAGAAAACGGTCATTTCGGGACAAAAATCCCAGAGCTTTCAGCTATTTTAAGTCATTTTGATACAAAATATAAAGAAACGATTTGCGAAAAACGTTCAACACTTAATGCTTTATCGAGAAATTTTTTATACAGGGTGTCTCAGAAATAAGTGCAAGTATTTTAACTGGTAGTATCTCTGAATACAGAGTAGCCCAGAGAGCCATGGAGAGAGCCATGCTTGGAATAACTAAAAGAGACAAAATTCCTAATAACACTATCAGACAAAAAACCAAAATTAAAGACATAGTGGAACACGTAACTCGAATGAAATGGAGATGGGCAGGTCATGTGGCGAGAACATCTAAAGACAGGTGGACTAGCAGAGGCAGACCACCGACACGCTGGACCGATGATGTAAAGAGGATTGCTGGAAATTGGATGATGACGGCCCAAAATCGAGAGACATGGAGAAATATGGAGGAGGCCTACGTTCAGCAGTGGACAACGATGGCTACATGATGATGATGATGATCTTTGAATAAGAAGACTAAGGAAGGAGCATATCAAAAATCTTAGGTACACCGCGATGGGCCTCAAATATGGCCGACTTAAATTCCGGTTTATCAGTGTCGTTCTAATTTTATTTAAAAAATGTAAAACTATGATGTAGGGTAGACGTGGGGTAGACTCAATAATTTGTTGTTTTATTTTACGTTGTGAATAAATGTTAGTAGTTATTAAAATTCTTATAAAAATATATAATTCTAATAAAAATAGATAAGTTATAATAAGTATTTATTAACACAAACATCCGATACGCTACTGAAGCAGGTAAGTCAAATTAACGTATCTAAATTCTTTGACATCTAATCTTTGACAAGTAATAAATAAAAGCTAAAATGCAAGAAAAATATATAATTTAGTTAATTTAAGTCAATTTCATAAATGATCGGTTTACTACACGTATGTATATTATATAGTCACTTACTAGCGAAAAGTTGTTCCATTATTTCACTCAATTTTTGCCGAGGTCTACCGCACGCTACACAACCAACTATTTTAGAGTCTTTTTCGATAAATTGCGATAGTGTCACTGTTAATTTAAGTTCTGCCACAATTTCCATCTAGATTTACTACCTTTATACAACTATCAGTAGTAGAATAAATAATAAATAACATAAAATAAGCTTCGTAAAGACTGACAAATCCAAAAAATTTCAGATCAAATTCAAATGTGTCAAATGAATCGTCAAACAGAACTGTCAAGGATCCCCACCCTAGAGAGCTCTTTCCGCCCACCATGCATGAATACATGGATAGCATTATGCTCCTTCCTTAGTATTCTTATTCAAAGGGTAGTATAGTTCAACCCAAGAAACACGCCTATGAGTTTTTTTTCGCGGAAGAAAAATTTTGAAAATTCGAAATTTTTTTTCGTTTTAGTTAAAAAACATAATTTCTTGATAATATGGCAACATAGGTATTAGATTAAATTTACAAGAAAAAAATCCAGAAAAGATCCAGTAGTTCTCAAAATTTTAGTAAACAATCATTTTTTTGGAAATTTTTACTAGTAATACCACTAGGGGTCAAATTATCCCTCATCTTCGGGATAATTTTCAAAATATTCATGAGCTCGAAAAAGTTTCCGGATTTAATTTGACCTCGTGTGGTATTCGGTAAGAAAATTCCACACCAAATTGTGTTTGAAAATCAAATAATTAAACTGTATTTTTCGATTTTTGTTTGACGATTATTCGACTTTTTTATTATCGACTTGATTATTTAGTTACTATGACAACTAAGTGACACCTAAACCTAAAAACTATATCAGTTTTGAAAAATTTATGCTGAAATTGTCTGATGTGATGATCAATCATCATGCAATGACTTATTTACCCGCATTAATAGTGGAATGACTCCTACTTGAAGAAAGAAAATTTGTTTCGAATTGTTCACGAATATTTTCATCTAAACTACTCAAAATTCAAAGTACTAAATGGAAAAAAGGTGAATAAAATAGTGTCTAAATATTATATTTCATTAGACATAGACATTTAATTCACTCCATTCCAGGTCGCGATTTTTCTAAATATATACTATTACAAAAATGCACAAAAAAAAAAAAAAAAATGCACGAGACACGCCCCCAAATACGTCATTGGAAAATATAATCTATCTCAGCACATTCCTCCAAAATCTAAACGTTTGCAGCACAACAATACGTCGTTGGAAAATTTAATTTTATGTTCATTTCACGTGTGTCAGGCTGTGTGGAGATGGTTGTGGGATGCAAAAAATCACATAGATATTAAAGAAAGAAAAAAACTTATGATGGAATTCCGTTATATACTTTATGCACAAAGTGAAGAAGAAGCAGAGGAATTATTTGGTACCTTATGTGAAAAATGCAAATACCCAAATTTTATCAACTATCTTAAAAATTTGTGGGAAAGATGGAACGAGTGGTGTCACTTTTATAGAAAATCATTGTGTACTAAAGGACACAACACAAACAACTTTGTTGAAGCATCTACCAGCGTACTGAAATATATTATACTGGAAAGATGTAAATCCTTTAATGCTGTGGTATTAGATTTTATAACCAATATTCTGGAATGTTACCATAAAAGACGTCTGATATCATTTGCTAGCAACAGAAAAATGAAAATTAATTTAAACTACTTAAAATTTAAAGATAAAATTAGAAATCTAACAGTTAAGAAAATAGATAATGAAACTTTTTTAGTTTCTTCAGCTGAAGACAAAAATATGCATTATACTGTTCTAACAAATTCCGCCTTATGCAATTGCGCTAGTGGAACAGGAGGGGCCTTTTGCAAACATTTATGTGCTGTAGAAAATTCGTTTAGCATCAATATTTTATCGAGTCCCCAGTTAACGGAAAATGACCGACAAATAATTGTTTATCTAGCCACTGGTAAAAAAAACTGTTCATTTTTTAAAACATGATCAAAAACGACGATTCGGTTGCATTTGGGGAATGCAATACCACTTTAAACGCAAGTAATCAAACCCAATCGGATTCTATAACTGATGTTGAAAATATTGAAAGTAAACCTTGTAAGATAATCTAAAAGTTATAATATTGTTACTTGCTTAATATTTTTTGTTTTAGGTAGCGAAGAACATAAAAATTTAGTGGAAAGTCTGAAAAGGGAGTTTAGCCGTATTGCAGATTTAGCAAAACATGAGAGTTGTAATACAGAGTTAATAAAAAAGTTTGTTGGAAGCCTAAGAGGAATTAACACAGGTAGTCAGTTGGATTCATTCCTAGCTAGCAAGCAGTGTATCAAACGAAAAAGAAAATTAATAAAAGTCCAGCCTACAGCACGCAGTAGAAGAAAGATACAAAATGCGAAAATGGGGGGACAGAGAATTCAAAGTGGGCGCCCTTCCAGAAAAAAAAACACAACCTGTCCCTTAATATCATGTCTAATCTTCCTAATTCCAAAATTCATTAGATGTTGCTATGTGTTGCTTTGTGCTGTTTTATTTTGCAGATATTAGATATAGCTCCAATTAAGAGTATCTATTAAAATTCAATTTATTCCATTTCAACCGATTTGTATGACTCAGCCACGTTGTTGTGCTGCAAACGTGTAGATTTTGGAGGAATGTGCTGAGCTAGATTATATTTTCCAATGACGTATTTGGGGGCGTGTCTTGTGCTGTAATAGTATATATTTAGTAAAATCGCTTCCAGGTCCTACATTTTCGCCATTAAGAAGAAAGGAGGTGTCCAAAGAATATAGAAAACATCTCAGCTTTGTAATTGAAAGGTATCAAAATTATCATGTAAATAAATAAAAACCAGACTTTCAAAAAGATATTCTGTGATTGTAAACGTCAAAAAATTTCCAGTATAATTCACTGTTGGGTGCCCACAAGGAAAAAAATTTCACTAAAATTTATCCGTTGCCATGGTGATTTGTAAAAAAACACGTCTTGATTGGTTAAAAATTACAGGTGTGGAATTTTCAAAGTAAAATAACTCCGTTATTTTGGACTTATTTGAAAAACGATAAAGAGAAAATATGTTTCTTTTATCGAGATCTACCAGCCCTGAAAATATTTGCACATATTTAAGACTCACCCTGAATATTTTAAGCATAATTCCATAGTATCTGATACACTTCTTCTCTTCAACAGTTCAGAGTGCTGTTTAACGTCTCGTTTTCGTTGCTTAGACTAATTTGGACGTGGCCTACTTTGTTTATGCGGAACATATACAGGGTGAGTCTTAAACAAGTGCAAATATTTTTAGTGATTGTATATTTCGATCTGATTTTTGGGTTTTTTTTCGCAAAAAAAAGATGTTGAAAATCATTTTTTTTTTTAATTTTTCTGTATATTTTATAAACCTTTTTAGAGCTGCATGTTCACCGCAAATTTTCCCACGGTATAATTTGTTAATCTCTGATGAGAAACACCCTGGGACACCTTGTATAAATATACACATATTTTTGTGACCTGAAAGCATTCCTGGTAATTTTTTGCTTTTTTTAATAACTACGGATATTTTACTGCTAAAATAACCCATTTTTTAAATTAAAATTTGGATTTTCGTATTTTTGTCCATGGGCCTAAACACTGTGTGCTTAATCAAGTGACTAAAAGTTTATTTGATATGAACTACAGTCGTTAATCAATCAGGGAATTATTCACTCCTGTTCTAATGAATCTAATGAACGATTCTCGACATTGTTGACATTTATTTCATTGTCGATGTATTGTCGACAGGTCGAGGTCAACAATACAGTTTCTCCTTCTCCTATTACTATTTAATAGATTTAAGTCTAAACTTACCGTAGCATTCGCTGACGTTTCTGCACTGAACCCTTGCAACGAACACAAAATCTGTCCGAAAATATAAGTGTTCGGGCTCCAAATCCTGTACATTTCCGGTGGCAGACCGGAAATCAACAACAACATGTCCGAAACCGCCAAACTAAACAGATAATAGTTCGTAGCAGTGTGCATACTCTTATTCTTTGCTATCACGAAGCACGTGCTAATGTTACCGACCACACCAGTCACAAAAATCACCGCGTACACTATGGTGAAGGGCAGTGCCAATTCTAAAGGGTACATAGAGTCACTGAGTTCCTCGTTGGTTAAATTCGTTAAATTGACACGGTCCAGGCTGTCGTTGATGAGGTAGTTGTTGCTGGAACTTTGAGTTGTCGTTACTGGCATTATATAAATGTGTTTTTGATGGTCTGCACTGTAATCCAGGCTATTCGCGTTGGAACCCATGTTCTTTATGTTGTTAATTCTTATTTAGGTAGATGAAAGTTTCGTTAGGATTGGATAAGCAGTCTTGAGGTTGTATTTGTAAAAAAGTTGATAGCTTCATCGGTAGATGAGTATTCCAAATTAGCAGAGATCTTGTTGGGGCCATTTTTCTGAAAAAATAAAGATTTATTTTAATCAAGTGTTAAATACGTCGAAAATATTAAGTAAACGTCACAAAAGTATTAATTTTTGCGACGTGATTGACAATATAAAAGCGCAATTTTAATGCCTAGGCATAAAAGTAAAGCACTTTTACGACAATGTTTTGTGAAGTTAAAGGAATACGAAGGGTTTTTAAGACTCTGTTGAAGAAATTGACATTTTCTGTGGGAAAACTGCTCGTGCGTCAAACAAACGTCAATCTTGTTAATCTGTAAATCGTGGAAATCTACCTAAATAAAAGATGATCGATGAAATCGGATAGAAATGTGAATTTTATTGAGTTTTATCTCTATTTTCTTTATAGTATACGAACCTTTGCACCAGGTCTTGTAAAATTGTTTCTATTCTATAGTAAAAAGACTAAAAGCTCTTAACAGTAGAAACTAATAGAGTGTGACAGTGGAACAAATCGCCAGAAATTACGAAGACGTTGTTCACTAAGCCTAATTTAAAGGCGAACAAAGTAAGGAGCAGATAATACGACATTTTCCGTTGAAAAAAGTTAAACGTTTTGTGTTTTTCTCTTATCTATCAATTTGGAAACAAACTTTTTGGGAAGATTGCTTACAGTTTTTCAGCTATGGGAAAAATACCAAATTGTATAAAGAAAATAACAAAAAAGTAGTTGTGTAGAATATGATATTTGAAAGACAATAAAATTATATTTTTACCAATAAATAAAAAGTTATACGGGGTTGTTCACCACATACGAAACGGAGTGTTGTAGCTAAACGATTAGATTTTTACAAATTGTAAGTTTTGGATTCGTTGAAGGACTATTAGGGCTACCATTTGAAAATATTTTTACAGAGTGTCCCAAATAAATAAAAAATATCAAAGTTGTATTTTTTTAAATAGAACACCCTGTATATTATTACATTTTTAGTTTCTACGATTAAAATAAAGGTAAATTTGATTAGGGATTGTTACACTTAAACCTTACCGTTTTAGAAATATTTTCAATTTTGTGAAATTGTAGTAAAAATTTTAAAGATGCATTTCTGCAAGGATATCAAAGTTTTTAATACTAAATATTTAACTGAAGTTTATTTATTGATTAGTTATTGTGTTGCAATAATAAAAATAATACTACTTCATACGGAGTGTCTAAAAATTGATTTTAAATCATTTCTGGCTTTAAATGGCAATAACTTGATTAATTTAAATGTACCCTGTATATTTTAGGAGAATCAGGTCAGACAATCACCAAACCAAACACTTTAATTGCTTTAGCACCTGTACAAAATGTACAGGTGCTAAAGACGATAATATTACTAGCCCAATTGCGACTGTTTGCTATACGACAATATTACTATACCATTAATTAAATATACCACCATTATTTCCGCCCAAATATTAATTAATTACATACTTAATTGTGTAAAAAAACCTCGTATACGTGTTCCTGGGGTCGAAATATACTACCCCTAAAATATCTGCGCCCTTATTTGAGACTCGTAAACCCTCTATATTACCAATGGTATTTTATCGAAAATACAAACATATAAAATAGACTTTTTATTTTTTAGATCTCTCTTCAGTGGCGAAATACACAGGGTATTTAAAACCAAATTATAAAAAAGGTTTCAGATTAACGAAATTTTGAACTGCTTATTGAAAAAAAAATCTAAATTATCAATATTCCTTGAATATTTACCTTCTTCTTCCTTTTTCTAATGATTTTCTTTGACAAAAAAGGAAGCTTAAATGTCTGGATTTTTTCCCATCTTATCTAAAACGTTTTTAAGATTTAATTATTTTTTATAGTCTCCTTTTCGAAAAGGCTGTTCTGATTTCCGTTATTCGAATATCAGAGCAGACTTGCCTATTATTTCATCATTATTTACAGTTTTCTTTTTTCTTGAAGGCTTTTATTTTACTAAAGCAGATGAAAAACAAAAATAAAACGAAATATATGTAAGCTGCATATAAATGTTTTACTTAAAATAATGATTAATTATAAAGCAGCTTGTGGCTGGTATAGGTAGTGCACCTTCAGTTTTTCTATGTAATTTGACAAATAAATAAAGCTGTCTCTTTAGTTGTCAGTTTTGAGTCAATTTTATTTAATTCTCTTTCGTGTCGATTGCTGATTGAATTGGAGCATAGATAAACAAATAAAAAGAGACTGACAAATCCCATGGTAAAGAGTGGGACCGCGTTCCCGTAGCGCAACTCAGAATAACAATTTTGAAACCAATTAGCAGGACCATGGCAAGACGTACGTCTTTATTGCTATCTTTCTTTATTACGTGTGCTTTATATGAAAAAGAAAGAGATAGGTATAAAACGTATCGTAAGACATTATCGCACATTCTGGCTGGCGGAAAATTTAAATTAGCCTTTATTAGTAGTATTCTTTCATTCTGAAACTGAAAATTTTCACTTAAACTGATTTATTCCCTATACCACGTAAAGGGAACGTGGTGTAGGGAATAAATCAGTTTAAGTGAAAATTTGCAGTTTCTTTCAGAACGAAAGAGTACTACTATTATAAGGGAAATTATAAAAAAAAGCAAAAATTGTACTGTTTTATAAACATATTTATTTATACATAAAAATAAATAAAGTTTTTATAATATAATCACAAAAAATAGCAGTGTTTGTTCCACCCACCTACCAATTTTAAATGCAGAAGAACTGAATGTTGCAGGAAACGATCGGCCAATTTTTTTAAAGGGCATTAAAAATCTAATTTTCGAAAAAACTGCCTAATTGCAATAACAAAGTAAATATCCAAGCAAAGAAGACTTTACGAGAATCATGAACCTGAACCATTTTCAAGACCAGTTTTAATCCTAAAACAAAAGTAAAATAGGTATATTAATAAAGTTTCTGGTTACTATAAACCAGCTATAAAACTACCCAAAAAATGAAAAAAATTAATTGTATTAATATGTTATGTTAAGAGAGGTTCGAAATATTTTTGACACTACTACTTCTACTTTTTTCTTAATAAGATGATAAATATAACTACTTACTTTTATTTTACCGGGTGTCTTTAACATATCTATCAGAGAAAGGGGGCACCAATACATATAAAAAATAGATGATACTGGCTCTTGCAATAAATAAAATAACAAATAGTATAACCGAAAATTATAAGTAAAATATAAATACCTATATGGAACAAAGGAATTTGTTCCCTATCCATATTCATAAGTCAATAAAATGGAGAGTTTAGAAAAAAAGGTAAATCACCAAAAGAAAAATTAACAAACATGACGAATTGTCATGATGTTGTCATCTTGGTTGTCATGATGACGAAAACGAAAGGCGATTGTTCTAATTTCTATTTAGAAATTACGTTTTATATGATTGCTTGTTTCTCTCTTGTTATATTAGAATGAGATAGTGGGCCCAATAGACGCAATGCGCAGATCAACATAAATAGAACGAAATTTTGCGTTCTGAGTTGCGCTACGGGAACGTTGTCCCTCTCTTTGCCATTTAATTTGCCAGTCTCTTTTTATTTGTTTGTCTATGATTGGAGTCAGAAATGGCTCAAAACGAAATAAGTAAATTACCAACAGATATTCAAGCTGAGGCGATAAACGCCATATCCAAACTACTTCCATATAAATCCCGAATAGGTAACTTATCAAAAGGAATACAAAAATTTTCAAAAATGGAAGCAATTAAAAAACGTGCGAGAAGAAATAAAGTTTTTAACATATCCTCGCTGTTAAAGTATCATTTAATCTACCCCTATTATGGTTAAAGTACTATTTTATCTACTATTTTTGATAGATATAAGGTAATTTTAACAGTTGCTATGGAAAAAAAATTGAAACTAACTTTTTATCTTATCTCTGCTCCATTAAACTATCCTAAAATCAGTCTGTTACACTCCATTAATAAATTACATAGAGACCACAACGGATGATTTTCAAGTCCTTACTGCGAAGGTCAACGTGAAGACCTTTAACGCGAATATCGTGTGTAATAACAAAATAATTAGGGTATAGAACAACTAACATAAATTATTAGAAAATGTGTGGGAAGGAAATGCCTTAATACAGGGATGTGTTAATTTCTAATTACCCGTTTTTATTAATTCTATGTGGGCCATGTAATGAAAATAGATATTTACGATATATATGAGTTAACAGCATCATTAAAGCCCGGACCATATTAACCAATACGCTACGCCATCACGTGATGCCATGCTGCCTCACGTCATGAAGATCTGTGCGTATGTTTTTCCATTTAATTACATGTATTGCACACTAGGCAACACGCGACGCCATCCGACGCTATAACACGCTATGACACGTGTGATGGTCGATTCATCGGTCCCAGATCTCACCGACGTGTGTTACGGCGTGTTGTTCCCCGCTTGCCTCTCTAGTCCCGCAGCTATCTACTTTTGTAGTTGATGTAGGGATGCCTCAAAAATAAAATAAATCGATATTTTGAATCGATTCAACATCGGATATAACAAGATAGATCCAGAAAAAATCGGCATCAAAAGATTGGCCCCCAAAAGATTGATTTAATAATATCGATATTCGATTCTGAATATATTGGTGTACTGGTATTATGATTATAATCTAATATCGGTATGGGTATCAATACTTCTAATATTTTCGTAACCCTATTGATAACTTTTTTAACTGTAATAAAAATTTTATGAAAAATGAGTTTGTGTTCTCCGATTTATTCTAAAGCCTGTCATTTTTGACATGACACAAACATATATTTTTTTAAATGGAAACCATAGTTGGTCAGGACTTCATAAAAAGCGCCATTTTTAAGCTTTTCAGCGATATAGCTATAATATGTTTTTTTTTCAAAAAATTAGTTATAGCCTAATTCTTATTTTTCTTGACTAACTTCACTTAGTTGGCATGGTGTTCTTATTTTGTTCTGATAAAGACAAAATATATTATCAAACAGCTCTTTACAATTTACATTACACAAACTAAAACTTAAAAAAAAATAATAT